TAGTCAAACCGATCGTCGAATGGCCAGAACTGCTCAATTCAGCGAAGTTGATGCTTGCGTTATATATGTAAACCGTGTAAGGTGAAGGAGGGGGCAGCAACGTTGTGTTAGAGCGCCGCCAGCGGCGTTGGCGCGCTTCGCGCGGATATCCGGCTGCAGAATGTCCAGAGTCATACAGCATAAGACTGGTCCTAATACTGTTTCTTGTCTAACTATTTCTTTTGTTATGAAATTTTCTGTTTCCCCTATTGGTGTTTTCATGTTAATAATTGCTTTTTCATTCATTTTGAAAATTATTTTCCATCATGGTCCCCTTCAATCCTCTAAACCATAGTTCCACCATTGTGTCTTTTAGCCACAGGCTATCAAAACATTTTTTAATATTCTCAAATAGAGTTTCCCAGTAGTCAGAATCTAAATTTAACATTAGTAATAACATTAGTCTTAACTTTTTCTAGTATAGCCATAGGCCTGCCGTTGACTACCTCTAGTACTATAGTCCTTCGCTCTGCCGCAGGAGCGAAGGGCTATAGTACTAGAGCTAACCGTTGACATAAAGATAGTAATGTTACTAGTTTTAAGTAGTTTCTCATACACATTCTAGGCCATTCTAGGCGAAAAAGCTGTTTTGTTTCTGACAACGGGCCCCTGATTTCTTATAGACTGTCATGGTTATATCATAACAGTTGCATAGGAAGCATGCTATGCTTCAATATACGTAATTAATATATGTCAGAGTGTGAAACCTATTGTATAATACGGGAATATTTGTATTGATACAAAGAAAACAAGCACTATCCACTGCACTAAGACTGGCATTACAGCACTAGTTTTGCTAGACGGTTGCCTCGATAGACATCCATACATCTCACTGAAACATCTGAGGTGTATGAAAACTAACTGAGTAATGTTAGAACGAGTGCAACAGGAAATCTGACAGTTGTTACATTCTGAAATATTTGTTCAAGACATAACAACAATGGAACAAAGTTCTGGATAAGACTCACAGTTACAAGTGGTGAAAATGATTATGGTTTGCACTAGGTGACACAGTTGAAGCCCTAGTGGCGCTAAAGACAAGAAGTCGTCTCCGAAGCCAAAATAATACTCCTGTAAAGTCTGTTACTGCCAAATCTCCAGTGAAGTCGCCATCAAAGCAGACATGCAGGCGAGTGATTGGACGCCAGGCTCCTGCTCCCAAAGCCTTGGTTCACGTATGTGCAATCGTGCTAATTGTGTGTCGTTGTATGTCTGCGTTTACATCGCAAACTAACTATGCTGGACTACATATGCAGGGGTAGAAATGTACTTTTGAACAAGGGAGTCCAACGGACTCCCTGCCCTTAAAAAGAGGGAGTCCGCAGCAAAATGAGAGTCCGCAATCTGAAGTTCAAAGCTAAAGATATTAAAACAATAACGCATGTGCTTATTTTGAATATTCATGCGGTTGCACATCTGCCAAATTTTCTTTCGACATTTGCTGGAAAAATACGGTAATTCCGCGAGGCCGTGCTCTGGGACAAACTAGTTAGTATGTAGCTGAATTTTCAGGGAATCACATGGACTCCTGCATATATCAAATCGGGGAGTCCGACAGTAAATCGAGGAGTATTTGACTCCGGACTCGCATTAATTTCGCACCCTGTATATGTAGTGTAGGATAATTAAGTGTGGCAAGGTACACGTAGAACGGTGGAAGAAAATGCTAAGATGAGGTCCTCAGGGAACGTTTTTAATCTTTCACTCAGGTCAGCCCAATGGCTCTATACCCCAAGCCCCCTCTAGACCCCAAACCTTCTGTGGTCCTCCTGTTTATTAGGGAGGCTTCCTTTTTTGGCCTTTGTGTATAGGCATCTACCTCTCGTCCTAGTAAAAGTTCCATACCATTCTTTTGGTGGCCCTTTGGCCTTCTCCGAATGGTGTGTCACAACGACTCCCTAGTTTTGCGTGGTCAGCCATCATTACCCTACTATTATCCTGTCATTTCAATTTCCTGGTTGCTTATGACACCTATAAAGTCTACTGTTCCATTCGCATTGTTCCACGCATCCAGGCTTTATCAGCGTAATAACTTGCAGCATATTAACCATGCTAATCTCATGTAGCTGTTTAGTTGTAGTAAAGCACAGGCTTAGTATTTCGAATATTCAGGATTAGTTTATTTCATCAATTTTTGGGATGTTTTTAGCATCACTTCATGACGTTTCTATGATGGTAGCTGGAAACACTGCGTTTTTCATTTTAATGTTGATGAATGTATGCGCTATATTCTTTTTCCTTATACATGTCTCAACACAGTCACCAAGATATGCAAGAAAACGGAAAAAAACTAAACTGTTTGACAGTGATGACACCGGAGCGGATACTGAGGATGAGAAACCAGCCATAGTGGATGTTGCGTTGTCTTCCGGTGCCCAGGCAAGCTTGTTTTAAGTTCAGATTTTGTTATTATTAAAGTATACCTATTAAATTTAGTTGCTGTATAATGTTTGAGACACTCCATTCGGGCTTGTAATTAGCAGCTAGGTTTTCATTAGGATATATATATACGTTAATGCCTTGTTGTCTTGCTTAATCTCTATTTCTTTCTTGCTTCCTAGAACTCACTCGGGGTGCTAGAGAAGAGAGTAGCAGAGAGGCTTGGAGCACGCCTACGCAACATATTAAAACTGCCCAAGGCACATAGATGGGTGTGTCACGAGTGGTTCTATGCTAGCATCGATAAGTAAGCAAGTGTATTTATTTTATGTCATAGTGCGTGCACACTGCTGTCATTGTTACTGGTTGAACTTGAAGGCATTCAGTTGACATACGCCGCGGTAGCTTACCCTCAGGATAGTTGATTAGATTCTGACCAGTACACTTATAGATGGAATAACAGACATGGATTCTTGAGAAATTAATCATGCGACATGAGTTGCGACAAACAAATTGTGGCCACGCCTCTATGCCTTAGATGTGATCTGAACACCGACTTGAACATCTGATTGGTGGCGGAATTTATTCCGTGCTTGAATCTGCTTTCTTTCGACAGCGTCCTCCTCGCCAGTGAGAATGAATTTCAGCAGTGCTTGAAGGACATGCTGCCCCATCTGAAAACGTGCCAACTGACGCGTGTTGAGTGGTGTAAGATCCGCAGGTATCTCGGCAAGCCTAGAAGGTACGTTGCTAAAGCTCATCTCATGGACCACCCATTCGGGAGGAGTAGAGGGTACTAGGTCAGTCTTACATTTATGTTCGCTGATAATCATGGGTTGTGAGCTTATATCAGTAGTTATAATCATGTCGCTGTGAATCTAATTGTGTGAGCGCTGTGGTGAATTTTCCTGCTGTCGCATTAGTATTTAAACTTATCGTCGCGAGCGTGTCGAGAACGTCTTGTTATTTCTATTGAACGTGATTGCGTCATTTATAGTGATGTCACGATCATCGATTATACTCGATCATCGGTTGAACAGTGGCTCGAACCAAGCGCTTAGTGATGTCACGATCATCGATTATACTCGATCATCGGTTGAACAGTGGCTCGAACCAAGCGCTTGGTTATCAAAATCCATAATCGATTTCATCGGAAAAAGAAAAAAATAATAATTTGAAATTAATTTATGCCAAACTTGAACAAGAAAACTTGGAAAAGTGATGAGAATCAGAGATATCATCGCTATTTTAGTTCGGGATTCACCCGACATTCGCCGTAGTTACTTCCTGTTGAGGGGCTAAAGCCTAGGACACACTAGAGATTTTATACACTGGCTAAACAAGCACATACATGCACATGACGTTACGCATACGCAGGAATTCAAATTCAACACCCCGAGTAACCGATTGTAACCGATCATCGGTTACTTGGGTCCAACCGATGATCGATTATGAAATTACAACCGATTGACAACACTAGTCATTTATCACTGAGGGTGTGCGGGGGGCCGACGCGTACGTGCATGTGTGTGTGATTGCATGCGTCCGCCCCGTCTGCGCGCGCGTGCGTTACGTCGTCGTTCTTTTCGCAGATGCTCGCAGGCTTTCTTTCGGGAGGAGGTGCAGTCGCTTCACGAGCGACGAGACAGGGTGCGTCTGCTGCAACAGAACAAAGCTCTCGACGCGAAGATGTTCAAAGACATGCCGTCCGAAATACCGCTGCCGCTGCACATCGGAACGCTCGTCACTGGTGAGAATCTCGCGAGCGCGATCGCGAATCATATCGGTCTAACTATATATATCGTATTCTTCATGTTCTTCGGGGGGTAGCTTTTCGCACATGTGTTTTGCATAGCAACCGTTAGCTCCAGTAACTATAGCCCACGTACAGTTGCCGCTGGCGCTTCCTGAGGCGATCCCTGCTGTGCCTCCTCCGAGTAGCTGTGTCAGCCGGTGTGTGCGAATTTAGCACTTGGCATCGCCGCAGTGCGGTAAATTACGTGAAAACCATGTCGTGCAAAAGTACGATTTATGTCAAAACTAAGGAAGCTACGTGGTTTGTAATACTACCGGAAGATAGAATAAGGACCAGCGAACAAAAGAAGCTCGTGTTTGTATACATTTGTATTTTTATTCACATCGAACTCGTACGACAAAAATGTAGTGAAATCAGTACCAAAGAGGTGTCTTACTCCTTTGTCATTATTAGCTCCTGATATGTATCAATGTACACAGCGACGTGTTGCATGCCGTATGTAGTCTTCAAGGTCGTACCCCTCAGTCGGTTGCAGGCACGATCGCTTGTGTTTGTATAATCTAGTACGGTGTACCCAATTAAACGTCTCATGAAAGCCGTTGCGTGTGGTGATGTGCAGCTCGCCTCAGGAAACCGCAGGATGGTCTTTTCACGGGAGTCATAGATGCCGTCGATACGCAGAACGCGACGTACCGCATCACGTTCGATCGGCCGGGACTCGGGATCCGCTACGTGCCAGACTTTGAAGTGTTGGTAAGCGTCAAAGTCGTTCGATAGTAGATTGCGTCGCACTCTGAGAGGTTTTGGGAAGCTTTCGCACACCCTGCACTTCGTTTGTTGCTGCGGTTGCCAGCGGTGATACGATATCGTTTGTCAGCGCGCCTCACGCCACGATTGTCTCGGTGATTCCTGCCTATAAACCCGACATTGTTAATACATAGCTGCGGTCCAAAACTACTATAAGGCATGTAAAATGATTAAAACATCTTACTTAGAAGTGGAGACATGGTCAAAAAAGTGTAGTTTGAGATTTCGTCGCGACCATTTTATAAATTTGCAAATGATGTAATTATCTTATCACATTAAATTTTTGTTCTTAATCCATTCCTCACACCTCAAATCCATGCTACAGGATTTAAAACTACTGAAAAGATTTAAAACTACTGAAAAGGGTAACTTAGAAAGGGAAATACGACCAAAAACATGTTTTTTAAATTTAGCTATTTAAAAAAAAAATTATTTTCTTTATTTCCAGGTATGTTACAAAAATGTTACAGCCATTACAATACATACTTGTACATATATATTTACCTTATATACAATTTGATATGTAGGTATGCTTTGGTACACAATAACTTTATACTTAACTTACATTTGTATATGTTCGCGTAATTTAGCTACAGTTGTAGCGTGCACGCGATTATGTGTAGCCAGTGATTATGTGTAGCCAGCGATTATGTGTAGCCAGCGATTATGTGTAGCCAGCGATTATGTATAGCCACCGGTATCTCCCTTGCAGAGCAACGAGGCGCATGACACGGTACCGCTGGCGTCGTACGTAGACAGACATCCGCCCGCGCGGCTGATCTTCAGCTCTCCACCACCTCCACTGCCGACGGACCTGCCGATCCTGGTGAGATACCCCAACGCGATCTGTTCGTGACGCGCATCCGCCTAGCGAAATCGTACCGTGACAGGGGTAGAAATTAACTTTTGAACACAGGAGTCCAACGGACTCCCTACCCTTAAAAAGAGGGAGTCTGCAGCAAAATGAGGGAGTCCGCAGCAAAATGAGGGAGTCCGCAGTCTGAAGTTTGCAACAATAAAGCATGTGCTTATTTTGAAGATTAATGCGGTTGCACGTCTGCCAAATTTTCTTTGGACATTCGCTGAAAAATTACGGCAATTCCGCGAGGCCGTGCTCTGGAACGAACTAGTTAGTATGGCAGAATTTTCAGGGAGTCACACGGACTCCTGCATATGTCAAATCAGGGAGTCCGCTCTGGAATGAACTAGTTAGTATAGCAGAATTTTCAGGGAGTCACACGGACTCCTGCATATGTCAAATCAGGGAGTCCGACAGTAAATCAGGGAGTATTTGACTCCGGACTCCCGTTAATTTTGCACCCTGCCGTAACAACAGAGAGCCGGCTTTACGAGTACTTAGGTTACGATGGCTCCAGCGTACTAGCAAAGATAGTTTGCAGTGCTCTAAATTGATCGGGAAGACCAGTCTTGCTGCCTCCGTAAAGCGTCAAAATTCGAACGGTTAGTGCGATAGGGAGACCGGGGGCGCGTGTGTGATGTGAAGGCGTCTCTAACGTGTGTCCGCGTTTCCTTGCCGTTAAGGAAAACGACCCGCTGCTGGGAGGCGCAGAGGCGACGTCCGATCTTCTTCGTCACCTCGACACGGACGCGACGTACGGAGGCTTCCCCGTCCGCTTCCTCCTGCTGCTGGTGAGGTCCCGGTCTCTCCTCCCCCCGCGCGCGCGCTTCCTCCTGCTGCTGGTGAGGTCCCGGTCTCTCTTCCCACCGCGGCGTCCGTCTTTCCTCCTGCTGCTGGTGGAGGTCCGCGGTTCTATCGATCTTGCCCCCCGCGCGCAGCGTCAGCAGCTCCTCCTCTGCGGTGAGGTCCGCGGTCTCTCCTCCGCCCCGCGGGCTTCCTCTGCCTGTCTGGTGAGGTCCCCGGTCTCTCCTCCCCCCGCGCGCGGCTTGCCATCCTGCTCGCCTGGTGAGGGTTCCCGTCTCTCCTCCCCCCGCGCGTGCGCCTTCCCTCGTCTGCCTGCGGTGAGGTACCCGGTCTCATCCTCCCCCGCCGCAGCGCCTTCCTCCCTGGACTGCTGGTGAGGTCGGATCCTCTCCATTCCCCCGCCGCGTGCGCTTCCTCGCTGCCTGCTGGTGACGAGTCCGGTCTCCATCCTCCGCGGCGCGTGCGCTTTCTCCTGCTGCTGGTGAGGTCCCAGGTCCTCTCCTCCCCTCCCGCGCGCAGCTTCCTCCTGCTGCTGTCGAGGTCCCGGTCGTCTCCTCCCCCCCGCGCGTGCTATACTCCTGCTGCTGGTGAGGTCCCGGATCTCTCCATCCCCCGCGCGCGCGCTTCTCTGCTGCTGGTGAGATTCCCGGTCTCTCCTCCCCCCGCGCGCCGCTTCCTCCTGCTGCTGGTGGAGGTACCCCCGTTTCTCCTCCACCCCCCGCGCGTGCGCTTCCTCCTGCTGCTGGTGAGGTCCTGGTCTCTCCTCCCCCGCGCGGGCAGCTTCTCAGCTGCCTGCTGGTGAGGCCTGGTCTCTCCTCCCCCCGCGCAGCGCTTCCTCCTGCTGCCTGGGTGAGGTCCCGGTCTCTCCTCCCCCCGCGCGCGCGCTTCCTCCTGCTGCTGGTGAGGTCCCGGTCTTTTCCTCTCTCCCCCCCCCAGCGCGCGGCCTTCCTCCTGCTGCTGGTGAGGTCCGGATCCTCTCGCTCAACCCCACACGCACGTTTGTTGCGGCTTCCCTGCCTGCTGCTGGTGAGGTCCTGGTCCTCTCCTCCCCCAGCGCGCGCGGCTTCCTCGCTGCTGGAGCTGGTGAGGTCCGTCTCTACTCCCCCCGCGCGCAGCTCCTCCTGCCTGCTGGTGAGGTCCCGTCTCTCCCTCCCCCCCGCGCGGCGCTTCCTCCTGCTGCTGCGTGAGGTCCTGTCTCTCCATCCCCCCCTGCGCGCGCGCTTCCTCTCTGCTGCATGTGAGAGTCCCGGTCTCTCCTCCTCCCCGCGCGCGTGCGGCTCTCCTGCTGGCCTGGTGAGGTCCCGGTCCTCTCCTCCCCCCGCCGCGCGCAGCTTCCATCCTCTGCTGGTGAGATCCCGTCTCTCCCCCCCCCGCGCGCACGCTTCCCTCCCTGCTGCTGGTTGAGGTCCTGGTCTCTCTCCGCGCGCGAGTGCGGCGTTCCTCCTGCTGCTGGTGCGGTCCCCCGGTCTCTCCTCCCCCCGCGCCGCGCTTACCTCGCTGCTGCTGGTGAAGGTCCCATGGTCCTAATCCTCCCCCGCCGCGCTTCCTCTAGCTGCCTGTGAGGTCCCGGTCCCTCCTCCCCCCAGCCGCGCGGCAACCGCTTCCTACCTGCTGCTGGTGAATCCTGAGTCTCTCCATCCCCCCGCGCGCGTGCGTGTTCCTCCTGCGCTGGTGAGGTCCGCGGTCCTCTACCTCCCCCGCGCGCGGCGCTTCATCCCACTGCTGCTGGTGAGGTCACTGGTCTCTACCTCCCCCACGCGCCGCTTCCGCTCCTGCTGCTGGTGAGGTCCCTGGTCTCCTCCTCCTGCTGCTGTGAGAGGTCCCATGGTCTCTCCTCCCCCCGCGCGCCAGGCCTTCCTCCTGC